GAAGGAGAATTCTAGCGTCCGGATGGTCTGATCGCTTGTTTTCCGCGTTTTCTCCGATCAACATCAGGCAAACACCGCAGCAGTACCCTAACAAACGGGCCACGGATCGCGAGTGATCTTTTCTTCGTCTTCCTTGTACTATCCTCATCCCTCATTTACACACACACACACACACACCTCCACGCACCACACTACCACACAAGCCGGGAGACTTGTCGGAAGTTTACAGATTGTCCCGGCTAGGGCAACATCCCGCTGGAAGTTACATGCTTGGGGAAAACTCCGCAAGCCGACGTAAGGTCGGCACGTAACCCCCCATCAGGGGAAGTTCACTGCTCCGTCCCGCAGTTAAGCATGCACTACACTTATGGGGCTATGATTTTAGCAGACGCCTCGCCCAGAAACACTAATTAATCAACCACCATGTCACTTTTGAGAAAACGCAATTACGTTGGAAATATTCTGCATCCTCATTGCGATTTGATTAACGTGGCTTTACCTGCTAAGGCTTACACCGACAACCCTCTGCTCTCAGTACTAGCTTTTATACTTCAACTAACTCTCTCACGCTGCAGTGGCCTGTGGCCCTTTACAGCCTGCACTCAGTAGGAGCTGCAGCTCATAAGTCCAAGTTAAGAACGTCTTTTAAAATTAGGAAAGTACAGTGATGAACATATGCCACAAATGTCGCATTTCGTAGGGCGTTGACACGGTAGGGTGTAATATAACTCGCCATACTACTACTACTACTATAAGTATTTAAACAAATAGGAAGTTTATTTTCTTCATGAAAGTAATTTGTAAAATCCTATCTTTAAACAAGGCCATTTAAAACATTCTTCATTTCGTGCCATTTAAAAGGTTATTAATCAGGAAGTTTCAATGTATCTAAATCTCAATTTTCGTTTTCTCTTCATCCACTATCCATAATATGAATATTCATACATTTAAAAACAGATGGGTTGGAAATGTAAATTACTGGTGTACCAATTACTATTTATGCTCATGATAACTTCAAAATTATTGAAGCTTAATGAACATTTCAGGAATTTGATTATCAGAAAAGTATTAAATGCGACATGTAATTGGATTTAGTACATTCACGTGAATATTATCTATTGTTTAGAACATTCAACTAGAAAGGTTTCAGATACAGAAATGATTACTCGCGTAAATTATTTCAAAATTAAATGCACGGATTTCGAATTATGTGCTTCTCATTTTAAAAAAATAGAAATAGAGTTGTCTCACGATTGAATGGCACTTAGTTGTCGTGTTTTTTCTAATAATGTAATGTGATTCCCATTATTATCGTTTATATTTTTGAATAGAATGAAGTAAATTCCGCATCATTATACAATTTAATTTTTTGATATTTAGGAGGTCATTAACTGAAAAAACAGTTCGAATGAAATTTGAATTTGAAATTAACATAAATAAGTGCGTAAAATGGACACAATATTGTGAAATGACTGTGTCAACTGTGTTAACAATGTAGCTAGAATCCTAAATTAATAATTCTGAACTCTGTTAATTTCGTTGAAAATGATTCGATGAAAATGATTTCACAGTTTTCATAGTATTTTCTTTTGTCTCTTACATTTCTAAATCTAATCATTAGTTTGCATTTCTAAATATTTTTCCCCGGTTACGCAGCAGCTGAAGAGAATAATTCCCGAAAATCAATAGACGATTGATCAATACCTGCATTTTAACTTCGTGAAGAACAACATTAAGGGGATTCTAGATGCTAGTGATTACCGCACCGTGGAGCAGAGGAAAGCAGAAAAAATATTCACAGTTTGCAAGAGATGTATGAAGCTAACAGCCCATGAAGCGTGATGAAAAGGAAGAAAATAGCCGAATAAGGTAGTGAAAGTGCCCCCAAACCAAATCGACAATCAAGATGCTCATATGAAAGAGAATAAAAAATGCCGTTGGTGGCCCTAGAGGGCTGCATTTTGGGGCATCTGCTGCAGAGATACGAGAAAGGTGTTTTACATGTTTTATTTTTGTCTATGCTACAATTGAATGTATCAGGCTGGAAAAATTGCAGAGACGGGGGAATATAGTTGAATTGAAAGGTATGTTTGTCAACCAATTTTTTCGTCAAATTCAAATAGAAAAAAAAATTTTTTTTGATATGCATCCGGACGGCCCACGTCGGCTATGACGACTGTTAAACGAAACTCGTCGGCCTTTGAATTAACGATGTGTTTCAATAACATTTGTGAATATATTGATAATTGATACCCAAGATGCGCGGGTATCATAGCTAACCATACGCGCATGCATGGAATTGATGTTAATTCCAACGAGACATTCTAAATTGTGTCCCCAACACACACTATAACGAACAGCTTTAAAAGAATAGACTACCTCTTAAATAGTCATACTCAAGCTTGGTTGGTTTACCACATAGCACATCAACATTTATACAAAAACTATATTAAGAGAACGTAATTATCCCTCTGTGTTTCGTTTTGAAGATTCCACACTGTACTGGGATAAATAGCTATTCTGAAGAATCAATTGATTGCACACATGTGTGCTGCTTTACAGTGACAGGAGCATGTGACTTTGCACTTAAATCATTATTAAATGGATCTTTAAAGAAAAAAATATGTGCTTCTGCATTGTCTGAAATGTTTAGCTCGCCATACAATACTACGAGAAGGTGCGAGAGGGGCTGTGGGAGCGGGCCTTGGAGGGGCCAGTGGGAGGGGGTAGTGTGTGGCGGCGCCCTCGCCCTCCGGGTCGTTAGTGGCCGCCTCGCAGGGCGCGATGATCGATGTGCGGGACGGGGCTGTCCCTTCGAACCCTTGTCCCTCCCGCCCCCGCGCCGCCGCGCGGCGGGACAAAGCGGACTGTTGCCGCCGCACAGGCATCGCAACGCACCACAGGAACCAGAAGGCCCAGTTGCCCCCCCTTACCGCTAGCGTCCCCGTCATCCCCGTCGGGATGGTTGAGCTCCCGTCACCGTGGGCTCCGTCGCACCGTCGAACCCAATTGCTCCCGCCGACCCCGTCGGCTCATCACCCATGTCGTATCCGTCGTCCCCATGTTTTCCGTCGTCTCTATCGTCCCCATCGCCCGTCTCACTCGTCGTTGTCTTCGTTCAAGTCGTCCCGTGAACCCCGTCTCCGTTACCCACTTCGGCCTCAATTTCTTCCTTCGTCTCCATCACCTCTGTCGGTACTATCGCCCCCATCGTCCCCGTCATTCCTGTTGTCTCCGTCGTTCCATTCGTCTCCGTCGCCTCCATAGTTCCTCGTCGCCGCCGTCCGATCTGTCACACTGTTGTCACCGTCGCACTCGACGTCTCCGTCGTTTCCGTCGTCCCCTCAACCCCAGTCGGTCCGGCCGCCCCGCTCGTCCCCGCCATACCTGGCGGGCTCCCAGTGCACCGGCAACTCCGATGCGCCATCGTGGCTTTCCTCGTTGCCACCCTTCCTCTCACCCCAATCGATTTTGTGCATATGTGCGATCGTTATCGAATGTTTATTGAATTTGATACAACATGACTCGTACACTGGGCGTCTGTAGGTGTGCGGTTACCAGGTTGTTTCAACCGAGAAGTTTATGCTCGAGAATAATACAATCTCACTGCTCTGGTCGATGTTTCGCGTGAATTTCACGGCTAATTCCAGTCTGCGCGTGATTCTTCCATCTCTACTCTTGGACGTCTCTACTCAAAACCAAAAAAATTATCTAATACCAATTCTCCTGAGGCTTCCCATTATATATTTATTCTAACGGAGCTCTTACAAAAGCTACAAATTCGGTATATGGAGAGAATTATTCTATTCTTTGACCTCAATTTGCCTAAACAATAGGTTAAGGGAGATAAACATATATCACTGCACTGGCAATCATCAAAATGTTCAAGATTACTGCTGGAAACATTTTCAATGTTCATTTAATGTCTGAGTTTATCTGCGGCGTCAAAACTGGAGGACATATCGGAAAGCGCCTCCTAACATCCGGAGGAACACTGTCCTTTAACGTAAGAAACTTTGGACAGAGTGCGGTCGTTCGCAATGCTAACGAAGCCTGTGTAGAGGGCCGAGGGGCGAGGGCGCACGGGCAAGGGGCGTGGGTAGAGGGGCAAGGGGTGAGAGACGAGGGAAGAGGGGAAAGGGGCTTGGAGAGAGGGGCGTGAGACGGGATGCGGTGGGCGTAGAGAGTGGGTCGAGGAAGAATAGGTGAGAGAAGAGGGGGAGGCGTGGGCGAGGTGTGTGGCGGGCTGCGGGCGGTTGGTAATAAGCGAGTGGGGCAGACGGTTGGGGCCGGGAGGCGGCGGCAGACGATGGCAGTCGGTGGACAGCGGCTTGCG